ACCCACTAAAGATATTAAACGAACTAATCTACTAAATTAAATTATATGAATAGTGTGTGGAAAGTGGAAAACGTATATCAAGGATATCACCACATTAATTTTAAATTCTATATGCAAGTTGTTATTTAAAATTATCTTAAAGGAACGCAGCATTGACTTTAGGTACCAGTAGCTTATACGATCACGTTAAGATCTATTTTACTTTGTAAGTCTACTCCGTATACTTGGTATGAGCAACGCTATAAGGCGTTATGCTGATTTGGCAGTTCTTATAACGGTGCCATAACATCGGAATACCTCTATCCTCTCATGTTATTTGGTGTTATGTTAAAAAATGTTACCATGGCCACAGAAAGTAACGTAAGAATCAATCAATCAGAAGTTATTATCTCACACTCTCTCTAACTCTCTTTGTATCTCTTAACATGTTATAGCATGTTATAACATTTGCATATTATTTCCTACATAAATCAAATGGTGTTAAAGATGATATTTCATATGAGTTGATAAATTTTGGGTATGATAAAATATCTTAACATGTTGCCCACACCCACCAACCTAATCTTTCCTAATAACTAAGAATCTTATCTACTCTAATAAACGAATGTTTTTTTTTTTTTTTTTTTGCATATGTCAGACTCTCATTCAATTTGCTAAATGTTATTTTATCGTTATTTTGAATTAATTTCTTTTCCACATGTCATTTTATGAGTTTTTCTATTTTATTAAATTCAACATAATATTTTAATTTAATAATTACAATAAATGTAGTAATAAATTAATATTAATTTCATTAACGAACTTACCTTTTAATTTCAAAATTCCCAAATTAATGCTCATTAGTTTTTTTTTTGTTTATTTATTTAAATTATTTGTTTAAATTTAAAAGATAAAAAACATTTTAATTATAATAATTCATTATTTTTTTTTCTTATAAATTCAGAGTTCTCAAACATTTTGACCTTTATATTCATTATTTTTTAAAATTAACACATGTATTACATGGGTCTCAGAACTAGTTTTTATCATTTTCTTCTTCAATTTGATAAATGTCAATTTGTAGTAATATAGAAATATTTATTTTCCTTTAGTTTATAACTCGTGAGAACCACGGTTATATATTAAATTAAACTTTCATATTAAAAAATTAAAATTATTAATCAATTATTTTAAATAAATTATTACTTAAGAGAAATTTTTTGTAGTTATATAAAGTTATAATCGTTGATTAAAATAAATATGTGAAGTTATATCACCTTAAAATATGTATTAATTTTATTTTATTTTTTAATATAATGTTAATTTAATATAATTAAAGTGAAAAAATTAAAATTTAATGTAATTATGATGAGAAATTTAAAATTTGAAATTTGAAATTGAGAATTAATATGTTGACAAGTGGCATGATTGGTGAAATATAATATTAACGAGATCTATTAATATATTGACACTTGTCAATGGAAGAATAAACATATTTATATATTAGAATAGGATAAGGGATAATTTGTCATTACTTCATTTTTCATTTTTCAATATATCATTAATTTAGTTTCCATAAATTAAGTATACCATAATCACTATATTAATTTAAAATATCAAATTCTAATAAATTATAGTTTAAACCTTCATATTTAACACTAGTTTATAACCCGTGGGAACCACAGATATAAAATTAATCAAACTTTTATAGTAAAAATTTAAAGTTATTAATCAGTTATTTTAAATAAATTATTAATTTAAAAGATATTTTTATTAGTTATATGAAATTATAACCGTTGATTCAAATAAATATGTAAAATTGGTTTTTAATATATATTAGATATTTTTTATTTGTGAATTAATGAAACAATAATATAAATTTTAAATTTTAAAATTTAAAATAGAGAATAAATACATTGACAAATAATATCACATTAATGAGGAGGTCTAATAAATTTAAAATGGAGAACTAATAAATTAACAAGTGACACATTAATTAAAAGGTCTAATATGGTGACACATGGCAAAAGAACTACTCTTTTATTAGTATAAGGATTTTGTTATAATTAACCCGTTTATTACACAGGTCTGACAACTAAACATTTAATTTTAATTTATTTATTTTTCACATGTTTATTTTTTTATTTTTTAATTTTTTCTCATAATTTTCACTTATTTCAAATTTCAAATACAAATAAACTTCCGTTTAGTCATTCGTATTTAATATTTTATTTTAATCAACCCGTATAACATATGGGTTCACAGTTAGTTTGTATAATATATATTTAATTTATTTTGATAACAATGTCATTGCGTATATTAAGAAAATTTTATCTACCTATTTATCTATCTATTTCTTATCTATCCTAATAAACAAAACCTAAAAATGTCAAATGTCTATTTTCTATCATGCTTCTAAGATATAGATCCGGTATGAATTTTTTTTTGGTATGAAGGTAAGAAGTTTTTTCTGCATATTTTTTTAACGAACAAAACAAATGAATCACTAGATCAATAAAAAATAACATGATTTACCAAAAAAAAAAATTTTTAAAAAATCTTAATGATTCATTTATACAATGATTTTGTTGTTATTCACTAAAATTGTAATAAAAGTGAATTTTTTCTTAATTTACTTAAAAATGATTCATGAAGATGTTTTTTTGAAATTTTTTTTTATTGTGAATCATCTTACTTTTGAATCATCAAATAATTCATTTTGTTTGTTCGCTAAGAAAATATGTAGAAAAAAACTTCTTACCTTCCTACTAAAATTTTCCTTCTTATTTGATCTTGATTCCATGCTTCTAAGCTTCTTTTGGCACGTACACTTTTCTAAGAAATCTACGATTCCCCGTTTATTTTGGTAGCAAATCAACTTCAATTCAAATTTAAAAATAAAAAGTTATCTTAATAACAATTCTGAATTATATGGTATCTATCAATTCAAATTCGTATTAAATCTCTCATGTTTTAAATATATTCAAATGTTGTGTACAAACAAATATTTCAAAATCTATGTTAAAGTATTTTGTTTATTTTACTAAACACCTTTATTCAGGATTACTTATAATCAACAATACATTGCATTTTTATTAACATCTAATAAAAAAATTGTCTATATAATATTTTAAGCATACCAAACATGGTTTCTACGGTTTATAACCTAATGTGTGTGTGTGTGTATATATATATATATATATATATATATATATATTATAATGTGGATGATAAATATTGTATGGATGTAGGAATGAATGTGAACTAATAATTTAATTTGTTTTAAGAAAGTCATTTTCATATTTAATTAATATAAAGAAAATTGATAAAAGCATTATGATTAAATGAAATGGTGACTTAAGGGTATTTTTGTCCATTAAACTTTATTTATAATAGGAAATTTTGGATTTAAAGGTAAACTTAATTCTTATAATTTTAAAATATGCTTTTTAAAAGATAATAGTTCTTTAAAGTCGGTCATTCTGTAAGAATGCATATTCTGATAAAATATAAGTTCTAAGAGAATATATATTATGACCGAATTAGATGAACCTATTGAAGAATAACAAATTTTTGACCCATGTGTTGAAGAATATTATTAAAGAATAAACATTTGTTAACATTATTCAATAATGTAAGGCCAAAAAAAAATCAAATTTACACAATGTCATTCTTCGAATCTCTATCACATTCTATAAGAGTATAATGTTTTATAGTAAATCATTTTTGAAATAATCTTCATTCTATAAGAATGCAATATCATTTTTGAAACAATCTTCATTCTATTTCTTGTTTTCTATTTTAGTAACTTGTACCTCTTGTTAGAATTTGACATGTTGGTGTAGTGAATCTCAATTGTCATAAAATTGTCTCTTAACGATATACGGCAAAATAAACTGTCAACGTAATTCAAAGACAATCAATCGGTAAAACAATATAAATAAAACACAAATCAAGAAATTCTTTTCAATAATTGGCTTTTAAATTAGAACAATGCAAACATAATTATAATTCATGTGGTAATTAAAAACCAAGTAAATCATTATACGTAATAGACAAAAAAAACAATTTCATGTTTAATTATATGTTTCAAGAACAAACATATGATGGAGTAATCCTAAATGAAGCTATCCTTCAAGTTTTGCCACTATTCACCACAATAGGTATTTTTCTTTATGGATTGTTTTAATATTTACACATAAAAGATTTTGAATTTATTTTTAATACTACAACTGTTTTAAGAAGCCAACACCCAACTCTCTTTCTCTCTTTCTTGCTCGTTATCAATTCTCTTTCTTCAGGTTAATTCTTTTTCTACTTTTTCTATGCATTTCCATTCTCTACTGCAATTCTATTTCTCTACCAAACACCCCCTTACTGTTTTACAATCACACACACCATAAAACCTCTCTTTTTCTAATTTTATGTTTGTATAATGGAGACGTTTAATGTTGGTGAATTTTGAGATATTAATATCAGCATCTTTTCATAGGTTTCAGGGGATTATAGGGTCATGGCCTACATATAGTTTTCAATTTCTATCGAGGAAAGACGCCTACTACAACCTTACTGAACAATTTCACAAATTATTTCTCATTTTGTATTTTTCGTTTAACTGTTATTGAGATAGGCTTTGATGCCCATGCCAAAAGCATCCAAAAACGTTACACACAGGATTGAGAACATGAGTTATTTCATGTTGGAAGAAGGCTATGAGATGAGCTTTCTACTCCATTTGATAGAAGTAAAGTCACTTTGTTGCTTTAACAACAAAAAAAATTGGTGTTTGCAAAAAGGAATTTTTAAAATACTGCATTTAAGTTGAACAAATAAAAGTAAGATGCTATAATAATAATAATAATAATAATAATAATAACAATAATAAAAAGTAAAACCGATCTATTGTTTTTACATTAGTCAACATGACAAATGACAAACAGACGGATAAAAAACTAGTTGTTATTTATCAAATCAATGGTGAAAAGTTATATATATAATCTAAACCGATCGAGACATGGTCCGAAAAAAATCAACTCGATATTTTTATACCAAATCATCACATCATCAAAAACTTCAAAAAACAAAATTTTCTTGAAAATAAAATCAAAAAACATCCAATTAAGATGACAAGATTAGTATCATTGCAAAACAACAAACATATCCATCTAGCAATCAATAACGAGACAAGTGCACAAATCAAAATCTTATAAACTTTATGAAATCATCACACATAACATGCAACTAAAACGATTAACATTTAACTAAGTAAATGAAACAACCAAAAGGATTCCAACATACCAAAAGGACTCAAGACTCTTAAAAAGCAGCACCAGCACTTTTTCCCTTCTTTCTTTGAAGCTTCTTCACATAGAACTCAAGCTCCTTTCCTTCCAAAATGTATCTGTTTTTCCCAAAAGGTAAAAAATTATATAAATTTTACAATACCCAAAATACATCCAAATAGAGAATAAAAAACAAAAAGTTATAGATGAACAAATACTCACCCATCGGCTCTACCACATTGACCTGGTCGAGAAGAAATGCAAGCATACAACCTTCCAGAACTAAACTGTTCTTCAACATGAGGATCAAGCTTACGTTCTTCTTGACGCTTCTCAATCTTTCTCTGAACATGGTTGCTCTTCTTTGCTTCCTCTGTAGCCCCTTCTCCTTCCTGTAACAAAAATCATAAACCATTAGCATCCATGGTGTGAATTTACAGGATAACAGTTTTCGTAGTTCTTAGTTCTTACCTCTGTGTCCTTCTTTGTGGTAGCAGCAGTTTTCTTCTTCCTACCAATGTCGACTCCGTAGTGTTGAAGGTACCATTGCTTGAATGGAGCTGCATCAACTTGAACAATGGCACTTTTGACGAGAGTTTGTGTTCTCACAAGCTCGTTGTTTGATGCGTTGTAGACCACATCGAGAATACGAGTTTTGCGAGTAACTGCTTCGCTTCCCCATGAGTAATTTCCAGTGTCGAGTCTAAGAGCTCTCCACTTCACGTTGCCACCTCTCACTCGAACTCTCCTTACAGTCTTGTTGCTTGAGATCTTCGTGTTAGCAGGCTGACGACCAAGCTCGTACCTACACGAACATGGTGAACAATCAGAGTTGCAGACTGCTGGTTTTCAAATCCGAGATTAATCATGTTTCGTTTCAAATTAACGATATTGATCGATTCGATGTTGAACATGAAATTCGATTCAAACTGAATCTGTTTTGGGATAATGATGAATGTGTTTCCTCGATTTCTCTGAGTTTACAAGCAATTGAAACGATGTGCGATAATATGACATAGAGGGTGATTGGTTTCTTACTTTCGCTTCTTCCTCCATGTCTTCTGCTTCCCTCCGGTGGCGCGCCTCTTGTGCATCGAGTCTCGTGAGATACCTGCAGTTAAATGCACCACAATGAGAGGCCATTTTCAAACTGAATACAAATCGATAGATCGATGTGTTGGATTAGCGTAAAGAGAAGAATGAAGATAATATACCCATGTTGGCGGAGGTTGAAGATAACCGGCGGCTGACCTCTGCTCCCTCAGGCGGCTCCTCCCGTTGGTCTTTTGTGTGAAGAAGGTAGCCCTAATGTACACTGCAGAGATGGATAAGTTTAGTTGAGGTGATACTTTATCTCCTTGTGGTTATAGTCGAGTGCCATTTTAGTCCTTCACAAAAATAGAAAAGCATAATGAGTTAAAAAGATAATATATTTTAGTTTTATACATATAATCAAAGGTTAATATCATTTTAGTCCTAAAAAATTTTCATGTTTGTTTTAAAACGTCCTTAATGTTTTTTTTTTTGGTAATTTAAGGGCTTAAACTTGATATTTATGGTTTAAAAAACGTCTTTATTGAAAAGGTGAAAGGGCTGTACCGGTTACCCTTTTACTATAAGAGCCCTATTATTGAATTTATTTGCTAATCCTTTACCCTTTAGCCTTGATATTTTTTACCTATTCTGAGAGGATTGTGGAGGATGAAGGTGAATCAATGATTTTGTGATAAAGAACCATAATCAAAAGGCATAGTGAGTCACAATTCAAACCTTTACCCTTTAGTCTCTTGATTCACAAATTGGAGGATGCATAGGAATGATTATCGGAGATGTCGTCGTGATCCTCCTCTCACCTTGAATTCGTGCTGGAATACGAAACCCAAAAAAACCCACCTAAATCGGAGGTGAATCCAGACAAGGAAGACCGAACAACAGTTGTAGAAAAGGCGTTGACGAAGATGGTTGCAAATAGACCTAGCAACGGAGTAGGTTTTGACCCAGGTCCACTACAAACCCGTGCAAAGTTAATGGGTTTAGATCATATTTTATTATCCGTTTACATGTTAATGACTCGTACCTATTAACCCTTTTATTCAAAGGGTCAGGTATGGATCACTATCGATCTGATCCGTTTATGATCTGCCTCTTCTAAAATTTTAAAATATAAAATTATTATTTTTAAAGTGTACATTTATCACCCATACATGTTCTGTACATAACTCGAAGAGTTCGATCTTTCCACTATCACTTCCCAATTCCTAATGGTTGAATTCAAATCGACTCCTAATAAAAAAAATTAAATATGTGAAATTGTAGAAGTGTTGGTAACTACACAAAATTCGTTACACTTAAGGAAACAATATATATATATATATATATATATATATATATATATATATATATATTGCATTAAGCCACTTAAATTTTTAGTTGAAATAATTTAATAGATATTTATATGTGTTTACTTTTTTTTTCTAGGTGAGATGTGAGTGAGTGGTGGATTGGACTTTAGGTTTTATGAAGATGCACATTGATGTCTATATTTTCTCATGTATGTTTGCAATAGTAGATATTTGTTTTGTTTTGGAAACATTATTTATTAAGCTATAATTAAATTTTGCTTTGCAATAAATGTTGCTTGGTTTTAGCGATTCATGTTATATGTGTTGTAATGCATAATAATAGTCTAATCTTAATATTGTAAATGAGTTAGGTAAAATGGTTGAAAATCCGTTGATTCCGTGGATATGAGTATGGGGTTAACTATTAAAAACCATACGGATTATGGGTATGGTTTGGATCAACATTTGAAAATTGCATAATGGGTTTGGGTCAATATCAATCCGCTAGAAACTCACTCCATTGCTAGGTCTAGCTACAAACTAAAGACATATCTGGCGGAAACAGTGTATTCATCTCCAACACCACCACACACCACCATTAGAATGATTGAAGAGAAAACCTCATATCGTCACTTCGATTACTGGTTTTTGAAAGCAAATCAGACGGAGGAAAGATTTGATGAAATTCCATATCTGGAGAAGTATTATTTCTTGGATTTGATGAAGCACCCATTAGGAAAAAATGACTTGATTGTATCGGACATAGAATCATAATCACGAGATGGAAGTAAGAAGCTTATGTTTTGTGAATTACCTATTTGATTATGATTTCAGTTTTTTTGATCTGGTGTTTTGATTAAATATGCAATTAAGGTTGAATTTGGGTTGTGTTGCCATGGTGGTAGTGGGGTTCCATGTCGGAAGTGATTTATGTGCAACATCGAAGCAAAATCAAGCATTTGAATCAAAAAATGAAGGTAGAATAGAAATTGTTTATTCAAAATGTTAAGTGAACATAAACTGGTCGCATCTCTGTGATATTTGTGGTGGTCATTTTCGCATATTACCCCTGATTTTAGTGAAAACAATGAAGGTGGATAAATGGTAAGGGTGATTCACGGTGGTGAAGGGTTGGTTGTAATTGAGAGATAAATGTGGTAGTGGGTAGTGTTTTATGGGATCTTAAAACTTGTTATAGCGGTCAAATGGCCTTAGTAACAGGTGAAAACATACTTCATTCCCTAAAAATACAAAAAAGACAATTAAATGATCTTTAAACCAGATGTAAAAAGTTTGTAGGGTTAAATTGGCATTAACCCTTTAATCATGTAGGTTTATTTCAATACACATTTGATTATTTTATATATATATATATATATATATATATATATATATATATATATATATATATATAGGTTTATTTCAATACACATTTGATTATTTTATCTCCCGTTAGCTACAGTATAGTTCCTAAGAGATTGGCAAATTTGATCCTCTTATTATATATGTGTGTTTAAATGTTTCTATTTATTGAATTTTTGAAGACGTGTTGTATGTTAGTCCATCACCGCACCCTCGACCAATCTTTTTCTTACAAATATCATTAATTTTGCACGTGACTCATGGCTCTTCTGCTACGTGTTCTTCTCCGCCTCTTCGAGAACACCACCACCACCTCTACTTCTATCTCCACCTATTAGCCTCTTGATTGAATCCTTCATCGTCTCTCTCTTTCGACTTCTTCTACCATTCTTCCAAAGGATCCCGCTTCCAACGACGCCCTTTACTACGTGTTCTTCGTCGGGTTACCGTAACTCTACTTTGGTCACCGCCTCCGGATCCTTCCCCACGGCCGGCTCTGCCGCTTCTGACCATTACTGATGAAGTTATCGATTGGTGCCCTGCCCCTCTAATCAGATAAGTTGCTATTATAGGTTCTTCTTCAATTTCGATTCTGATAAAAAAGCATCCTCTTGATTGTCTCTGATTTTGAACTTTACACACTCTACCAGTGTGTATTCCATTAATCAAATACCAAAGTAGCTGTTCCCAGTTACTGGCAATCTGGAATTTTCAGAAACAACAACCAATTGATGTTGCATAGAGTTGAGAAAGGAACCAGTGAATACGTGAATGTCGCGAGGAGTTTTATCAATGGGATGAGAAATTTCGAGAACCATGTTGACGTCGTTGCGATTCACCGGAAGAATTATAAATGGAGTGTGATGGATGAGGCTCGCGTGGAGGCATTTAGGCGTTTTGCGACGGCGGTTGCCAATAGAAACGACGGAGATCCGAACATCAGATTTGGTTGGTATGGCCGTTTTCGTGAAGAGATTCGTGACATTTTGTGTTATGGATTTCGTCGATTGGAAAATAATTCGCCATCTTATTGCCACGGTGTTTACTTCTCTCCGGTGAATAATTCAAATGCGAGGTCAGTAACAGTTCCTATCGATTCATTCATATCTCTATTCTTTTTATCAATTTGTTACAATTAAGTTCATTTTGTGCTTCAATTTGAATGCAATTTTGTTTAAATACGTTCTTGGTGTTCATATCAACTTTCTTCTTCTTCCAGTCAAAAATCGATAATAGCTTATTTAGATGGCGTGATCCATGTCTTACTATGTCACTTGATTTTAGGGAAAGTCGAACCAATTCCTTTTGGTTCACAAATCGATCAACCGACATCGACATAATTCAATTCGGGTGTCGATGATCTTTCATCACTCAAGAGATACATCATTTGGGAACCTTACATGAACACCTTCGTTCTTCCCCTTTTTATCGTCACTTTCAAAGCAAATTCATTAATAGGTGAAAATTCTTAATCTCTATGACCCAATTTGTTACACAGAGTTCGTTTCAAGATTGATAATCTCATTTTCGTAGGAGTAAGAAAGGAAAGGTGGCATGCTATGATGAAAATTCTGATGAAGAGCTCCCCGAAGTATATGAGTTCTTCAAAGATGGCTTTTATTAAAAAGCAACATGATGATCGATTGCTTCTGTCACTGTTGGGGATGAAGACTGCCAACCACCATCACCACAACGATCTAATACACAAATCCTAAATTTCAATGAGGTAAACTTTCAAAGATGAATTCAAAAGTTCTGAATTGCCTATGTTTTTTGCTCATTTGAAATATGGATTCATGTTGCACGACGCCCACTACCCCTTCTCTGTATTCACTTTGTTTTAATTTCGTTATATTTCGACTTTTAATGAGGGCTTACTGAATATTTGCTTGCTAATCGCAGGGAGCTGATGGCGATTCACTGTGACACTGGTGAAGAACAAGGCGCATCATCGGATAAAGATCCAAAGTTCAGCAAGGTTGGTAATTCAAGTTACTAATTTTGACTTTGACTTTTTTTTACCAAATTGTGAAGCCATATTAATATCATCATTCACAGGTTAAAAGATGATTTTTTCTCTTACCTCAAGCTTGAATTAGACAACTTCAATTTTTTGTATTAGAAACTGAGGTATGATTTTTTCTTACCCTATTCTTACTGACTTTACTATTACTATTGCAGATTCTGAATATGATTAAAAAATAACCTTATGAAAATCATAAATATTATATGTGAACATAAGAGATTATCATTTCCATCTATTGCTCTGCTTATGTTTATGGTTTCCATTCCTGAAAGTTCTTCTTAGGTTTCGTGATTGGCTGAATTCAAGAAATTAGAGAGACTCGGCCCTACCTTTACCAATTTGTCGTCTCTTGAGGTAAAGCTATACTCATCTATTTTGACCTACATTCCAACACCTTGGATTTTTGAAATCCTAAAATTAATTTTGAATTTTTTTATGTTTCCTAATGAAACTTAAATTCATCTACATTAAAACGCACAATGAGTCCTACAATTTGTTGAAATTGTGGCGCCTGATAACATTATAATGATTTTTGTTATCAATCATGAACATGAAAGATACCAGTTCAATCTCAGAATGCATATTTGTTTATATTTTTATTTTTATATTGCCTTTTTTTTATAAGAATGATAAACATCACATAATGTGGGTTTCATGTGATTGATAAACCACGGACTGAAACAATGTGTGAACCTGAAGTGGTTATCAGTTAAGCGGAACAAGATTTGAAGCTTAAAAGGGATAGAAGGGTGTGTTTGTCTTACGGTGAGTTGCATTTGTTTCAATTTTCTATCATGAAGATTATGATTCACAAAGAAAAAAGTACCCATTGACATACTATTGTGCTATGGTACCCTATGGTCTTGCACAACTCATATAACTCATCCCTATATATATATATATATATATATATATATATATATATATATATATATATATATATATACTATCTTATAAAACAAATCCCATTATTTCTAAAAATAGATTGAATAAAATAATAATATTTTTTAGAGAAAATGACAAAAATAGCCATTTACACTAATGAAATTACAAAAATAGCCAGAAAATATCCAAATTACAAAAATAGCCAACGATTTCGCAGATGGAAATGCCCCATCTGCGAAATCACGTTGCCATCTGCGAAAGTACAAGCAGGTAAAGCACAACTGTGCTTTAGCTGCTTGTACTTTCGCAGGTGGTATTTTTTTAAAAAATTTTTTTTTGTGTATATATAGGGGTAATTTCGCAGATGGAGAAGGTCCATCTGCGAAATCCTCTCATCCTATCTGCGAAATACTGATGTTTTTTGTATTTTATTTTTTTATTTTTTTAGTTTGACTATGAAATGAATTGGTTTGACTACGAAATCATGTTGCTATATAAAAAGTTTTGTAGAAAAATATCATTTTGGTTTTTATTTGTTTAGGAACTTTCTCTACAATTTGCTCAAAAAATGATTGAATATTTGGTTTGTCTTGTAACCGGTGGGAGATGGCAAGTTAATGGAACTAATCTGGAATACATATGTCCACAGGGAGGTATTTCTGAACTTGCTTTGATATTTTCTGAGTATATTACTTATAGTGATTTTGTATCTTTGATAAGAAGCAAAATTGGTTTGTTAGACAAATATAGAATTAGTCTTCGTTTCCACCATCCCGAATTAAATTATTATATAGCTATAGTTGAAGACATGGATGTTAGAATGTTGATAAACGTAATCAAATGTAGTGGAGGAAGGGCTGTGAAAGTGTTTGTGGTGGTTGATGAAGATGAGGAGGTTAATGGGGGTGGTGAAATTGGAAACCAGCTTGTTGGTAATTTATGCAGTTATAAAGGGAGCAACGATCCGATAGGTACTTTCAATACTCCTAGTGTACCTCAGTTTCACAATGTTGCTGAAAATGTTAATGTTAGTTATTCACCTATTCACTATGTGGATCCTGAGAATTACAAGCATGTTGGTGATGATGATGTTGGTACTTATCTTGATGATGTGGGTGGTCGTTGTGATGATGTTGCCAAACAAGAAGTTAAAGTTATAAGTAGGCGTGTGGTAGATAAAACTAAAAAGAAAAAAAATTCAAGTCAAAAAAATGAAAAAAATCATGTTTACGGGCATTATGTTGATGTTGGTGATGTATGTTTAGATATAACCGAGCTACAAAGCAATTCCGATAGAGATGAGTTGGGTGATGAAGTTAAAGCTAAGTTTCCCGATAACCTTTTTCACGGTATGCCCCCTATACCAGCATGGCCAGTTGATATTAATGAAGATATCCCAACACAGATTGTCGACATCAATCTTCAAAAGATTCAATGTGAGAGTATATTTAAGAACAAAGAACTTTTAAAGCGATGTATTGGTAAAAATGTCTTCGAGAAGGTTTCCAGACGAGGACAAGTAGATCCACCAAATCAAGGTATGAAGCTGTGTGTGTTTCGAAAAATTGTTCTTGGTTACTAAGAGCAAAAGCAATAAAAAATTCTGATGGACTTTTCCAAGTGAATAAATTTGTTGATGTACACACATGTTCTTCAACATTGTTGCAACCTAATCATCGACAAGCAAACAAATATGTTTTGGGTGAATATGTTGCTGATGTTTTGGCTGAAGACTATAGTAGAGTTTATCGGGGAAAAGAAATTGTTAATGATATGAATGCTCAATTGAATATCAATATCTCATACCATCAGGCATGGCGTGCGAAGCAATATGTATTGTTGTCGTTAAGGGGTACGAAAGAGGATTCTTTTACCAAACTTCCGGCGTATTGTCACAACTTGGCCAAACATAATCCCGGTACCGTCACACATATTAAAACAGATGCTGATGATCGCTTTGAGTTTTTGTACGTCGCACTCGGTTGCTCGGTTAATATTATCATATTATATTAATTTTTTAATATTTGTTTTGGTGTATTTGAATAGATATACAATGTATTGTAGGTACATGCTTTTGTCAATTTTTGTAAGCCGACCCTAGTAGTAGATGGAGCTCACCTAAAGGGAGAGTTCAAAGGTACCATGTTACTTGCAGTTACTAAGGACGGACAAAACCAAATATTACCGGTTGCATATGGTATATGCAAAAATGAGTGTACCGATTCTTGGACATGGTTTTTTCAAAAACTACGTGAGTGCATAGGAAATATGCAGGAGCTTACAATTATATTTGATAGGTCTCCATCTATAGCAACATCCGTTGCCAACATTTTTTCTCACGCTCATCATGGAATATGTGGTGTCCATTTGTATTTCAACATAGTATCTACATTCGGCAAGAGTAAGACGGTTAAAGGAATTTTTTGGGAGGCGTGTAGGGCGTACACAATTGATGATTTTGATGCTGCCATGAATGTTATGAAAAAGACAAAAGAACCAGTATGGGAGTACTTAAAAAGTATAAATCCAAAAACTTGGTCAAGAGCACATTTTAAAGGGAACCGATACAATCTTATGTCGTCCAACAGTGCGGAGTCTATAAATGCATTATCTAGACACGCACGTAAGGTGCCAATACTTATGTTGATCGATTTTTTTCGTGCTACAATGCAACAATGGTGGTTTCAAAGACGTAACTTTGCAGGTATTAAGTAAATTTTTAATATTAATGTTTTATTAATTTTGATGTTATTGATCTTAGCTTCTTCATTTCGTCTATTTTTTTAGCGGAAGCAACAACAACACTTACCCCTTGGGCGGATGAAATTGTAAAAGAAAATAAGAAAACTTTTATCAAATGGGATGTTCGCATGATCTCAAATACGAAATGCGAGGTCAAAAAGGGGGCACAAAATGTGATTGTTGATTTCAAACATATGACATGTACATGTAGGCATTGGCAACTTGATGGGATCCCTTGTGGTCATGTCATAAGATGTTTAACAGTGAACAATTACCAAGACTGCTTGAGGTATGCATTAAATGCTTACTTCACCGAAACACTGAGGAAAACATATGAGGAATCAATAAACCCTCTGCCAAAGTCATCCGAATGGGAGATCCCCGATGATTTGATGATTGTTAAGCCACCAATAATGGATAAACGTCAGCCAGGCAGGCCAAGAAACACAGACCGCATTCCATCCCAAGGCGAGGGTCCAATTATAAAAGAGTGTTCTACATGTGGTCAAATAGGACACACGAGAAATAATTGTATTGGAAGGGCGTCCGGTAGCGGAGCACGTCACATAATTTCTACTGCAGAAATGGCATTTAATATTGGTGGTTCAGCGAGTTGCTCACAAACCTTTAACGCTGATTTTGATTTAAAACAACCTTGAAATGAAGACTAATGACGAGTTGTTAACTTATCATGTATTGTAATATTTTTATTAAATCTTACAACACATTGCTATGCTTTCATATTTTTGTTTAGTTTGATGATTATAAAAATTAATGAAGCCTTTATTTTATAAAATATAGTTTGCAGAACTTTTTTACCAATTACAACTTGTTATTTAAAAAAAAACAACAAACGATCATTTTGCAACCTAATCTGTATCATGATAATATAACAACAATTTTGTATCTAGTTTTTATTAAACTTGATCTATAAGCGGTATTTATACATACTAGACAGTAATGACAAGTCCAACTTTGAAATGAGTAGACAGTAATGTCAAGTTACTGTAGTAACCTGCAAATCGTAGTGGAACCCTTAAGTGACATGACATAAAAGACAGTTTGACATGATAAATCACTGCATAAAGCTGAAAATCATAGTCCAAATGTAACCATTGCATAGTCAAAGTTTTAATTCGTAGTCTATTTATTTATATAAATAGATGTTTAAGTTCTAAAAACCAAACACCCAAATCACCAAAACGCAACGAACTCCCTTTATTAGAAATGTCGTTGAATGCAGCAAGTTCTTCGAATGAACTACCTGATTCCAATTCTGAAAGGCCATGGACGACAAACGAGGTTTTAGTTCTAACACGTTGCTGGCTAAGTGTTAAGGATGGTTTATCGTTACTTGCTCCCCCATATCGCCTAATTGGTGATGAATGGACTCGCATAACATATTTGTTTAACCATGAGATGGGAAAAGGACAAAAAAGAGAAAAATCAGATGTTGTTACTAAGTGGCTGGATGTAAAGGAAGAAGTGACATGGTTTAATCGAGCATGTAATTATGCGAAACGTAACAATGGTCGTTATCGGGAT